TTATATGTCCAAAATATTCTGAAACTTAAAGTTAATGGTGTGTTTTAAATTGCAATACAGAAAGTCACAATCAAAAGAAAGCTGGATTCATCAGTGTTACACAACTAGCCATGTCTTAAGTTATTTTCAGACCAAGGAGATTGGTGAAAACAAGCACCTTCTGTTCAGTTTACTAATATTATATCCCATTATTTTGGGTATTGGTGTTTACATGTCATTTATTTAATTTCAGATAAATATAATTTTGTGTTGTAATTTGGAGCTGCAAGCATGCAAAGTATGCATTGTGCAGCTGTAAAGAATTTGTTACAGGAGTGTATTACCCGTGGGCATCAGCTGCTGTAAATTTTCAAACATCTACAGTATTTCAAGTTGTGGGAAACAGCCCCAGTGGCTGGTATGCTCTTGTTACTCATCAAATATGTTTCCCGCAAATCTCAGTAAGATGGCTATTGGAAGAGATGCTTTAGGCAAGGCATCAGTAAAACTCCACCACTACGAGAGAAGTCCCTGAATGCATCACATGCGACAGACTCTACCCCTACAGTGCAGAAAATCAAAAAGGGAAGCAGAAAGAGAGAGAAACCCAGGGAAGGCTGGCAAACATGAACATGCTGTTTGCAATTTACAGCTATCACTCCACATGATTTATTCATATTGAAGTTAACATTTTTCAGTTACCTACTGGTCCCATTTGAGACCACCAGTGCATCCAGCAGTTTTATGCCAGGACACACTTCCTACCTCTACCTGTGTGTGACTGCTACCTTGCTGAATTGCTGCGTCATGCATGCTACATTGAGTTTCCTTCAATAAATACAATACAATAAAAACAAATTAATGGATTCTAATTTGAAATGGATACAGAAGGTGCTGAGTTAAAAAAAGATATATATATTTTTTCACGTCTGTGACATACATGATATACTGTGTGACATATTGTACAGATATAGACATCGAAACTGTAGTCGAGGGTGTGATATAATGTGTAACTGCACAGAATCTACTGGGGTCTTATTTGGGCCTCTCTTCCTCTAACCCCAACTGATCGAGGCAGACGGCCACCCACATAGAGCCGGGGTCTGTCCGAGGTTTTTACCTTTAAAAGGAAGTTTTTCTTACTGCTGTCGCCAAGTGCTTGCTCATGGTGGGAACTGTTGAGTCTCTGTAAATAATGGAGTACGGTCTAGACTTGCTCTATTTGTAAAGTGTCCTGAGATAACTTTTGTTATGAATTGATGCTATACAAATAAAATTGAATTGAATTGCTTTAGACAGACCAATTAGACGAGACCAAGTGCTAACAGTTAGTTTTTGGCTGGTCACACACCTTTGTACCAAAGAGTGCTTTCACACTGGCAGTATGAAATTGAGCTAGGCCGATATTAGCTTAATGCAGATATATTGGCCCGATACATCATTATTGGATTTTCTGTTCTCACAATTATCAGCATCGTCCTCAAAAGTCCAGTAGCAGATGGGTTATAGTTTGAATACAGGTACAATATGACGCCTGGGACCTGGGTGTAGTCCAAGAAATTGTACCTGACTGCACCTGAACCAGACAATCTGAGCTGGTTTTCAGTCACTGCAGCTACAGGAAGAACTTGTTCAAGATGAATTCACATCTGTCACTTTAACCCCATAGGTAATGCTTTCTTGTAAGCAAGAAAATTAAATGAATGAATGCATGAATAATAAAATATCTTACAGCTGTATGTGTGCAGAATAGTATTCAAGGTCGACTTTACCACACAATATTTTTTCCGGGGTGAAAGAGGAGCATTCATTTGTAATCCTACCCACACAGTTAGTTGTGCTCTTGCTGAAGTCAGGGGTCATTTGACTTCACCTGCCGGAACATTGTCCTCAACTCTTAATTCATATGTCAAAACAGGTCTGCTAAAACACCAAACTTTGGTTTGGAGGGTGGGTGGACAATCAAACTCTGGCTCAGATACAAACACACAAACCAAGTGTGAAAATGAACTAAGTCAGCACGTTCTGTAGCTGCTTCATAATAAAGCTCTCCAGTGGGTTGCCAGTGGAAAGCTTTAAAGGTCCAGTGTGTAACATTTAGGAGGATCTATTGGCAGAAATGGGATATAATATTTATAGGTA